TAATGACTGTTGCTTCTCAATACATTTATGAAAATTTAGTATATGCTCATAAAAACAAAAGTTTATTTAAAAAACATAGTGATATACATAATATAAACACGAGAAATAAAGACAAATATGTTGTTCCCACTACTAGACTAAAGAAAATAAGTGGTTCGTTTAGATGTCAGAGTATACGCTTTTACAATAAGATTCCCAGCCATATCCAAAATTTGAGTCTGAATAAATTTAAAAATGTCATTAAAGATAAATTTTATAGTAAAGCTTATTATAAAATAAAAGACTACCTAGATGATAGTCTGGCTTGGGAATAAGCTGCTGTAACGTCCACACAGGTCATGATGACATGTTTGTAACATATAGTTACATTTCTTTTTTTTTATATGCAATTTGACATTATTGTTTTAATGTGACATTGTTTTTCATATGTTGTTCTAACTTGACATTTAATTTTTATTTAACAATTGTTAGTGCTAGGACCGTGCGAGACTTTGCCTCACCATTTCTTTTCTAATTACCCTTTTTCTGACAGTTTGGAGTATTTGTGCGACCCACGCAAATGTTCTTTAGGTTGGTATTGTTCGTCGAATCAGTCAGCCTCACCTGTTAATTGAGCTGACTGTAAACCGACACATGCGTACTGCCTTCAGAACGGGTCCGCTCAAACTGTTGTGGTTCTTTCCTCAAAAGCCCACTACAGAAAGAACTGGCACGGTTCTCACACATAATCTGTTATATATATTGTCTGGACTTTAAAAGAGACAGACCTCTGAGTTTGTTTCGGCATTTCTTCTCAGAGTAGTCAGTTAGGAAATGTCGACCTCATCGTTCGCTTGACAAAATTGACGTGTAAAAGTGCTGCCTTGTAGCCTATTTGCAGAAATAAATTCACTTGTTTCACTTGTTATTTGCAGAAATAAATTCACTTGTTTCACTTGTTTTACTTGTTTCACTTAAGACTGGCCAGTCTTAGACCTCAAAGCAGTAGAAAAAAATAAAACAAACCGCGTAAGGAGATAAAATACGTTTATTTCTTAAAATTTGTCAATAAACCATACGCTGTCATTACAACCGATATCCTTTACATCTCTCGTATGCGTGTTCCTATATCAATATACACAACATTATGTACCTTCCCTACATACATTCACAAAATATACACACGGAGAAGATTCCCTGTGCATGTAACTCTAATGGTAGAGACAGAATTTTAAGTAGATCTTGAATAAGTTTAACATTACAATGAGAGATTGTCATGCAACGAACAGATATAAATCTCATCATCAAACTGTTAATTTTTTATGTATATTGAATTCTAAAAGATACCTCACTAGAGGTACATACCAAGAGAACTTCCTCCGCATAAATGTTTCGCGCATACATTGTTTAGACAAGAAATAGTATAGCATTAAATGCCTTATATATATGCCTTATATAGTCTACGTTACATCTAAAGTCACCAGGACTTGCTCAGTTTATGCTAGTGCTGGAGGCCGGCGTAGTCAATTCACATCGAGAGCCGATCGATATCGTCGCGAGAAGGTTTACTGGGATCGACGTGTTCGACGTGTTCTCATATAAAACGATAGCAGCACTTTATGTGAATTGCTTGCTCCATATAGTACTCCCGATTACACACAAAATAAGCAGCAAACTACTAAAATTCCTTTCGTTCGTCGGGATACGAGCAACGTATTTTGGAAGCAATATTACAGAGTAGCTATACAGGCTCGGTCCACACGACACAGTGAGCCAGTCTTCCAGTCGGCGCGGTTTGTAACCGCGCGACGCGTGCCCTGTGGCCTCACGTCGAGCCTCGAGCAGGAATTGCTTGTTCTAGACATTTTACACATTTGGATAGAGAATAGGATCATATATGTAAACTTTATATTAACGTAGTGTATTCATTACTTATCATTATTATGTAGCTTCGTATTATTTCAAGTTAACAGAGAAACATGTATGAATAGGTACATGCATATACTTATACTGAGATTGTATTCTACCATAGCCGTCCATCCAAATACGTAAATATCTAAATATAATATCAACAAATCAAGTTTCTATACAAATGTTTTTACAATAACCCCCGTCGTGATATCTGCCGCCCTCTGTCGGCGGCGAGCGATATAATATTACTCCAAGTTTTCACATTGTTAATGCCATTTTAAAAAGCAAAATGGCGTGTCGTCTTTACTAAAAATGTAAATAAATCGAAAATCGACATACATCGATGTCACACCACAAAGATGTTTAGCCGACATTGTTGTCTTGAGTTAAGAAATAAAATATGGAAGTAGTTTCGATTAGGTCGAAAGTTGTGGTAAATGATCTCCAATTCCATTATAGTAATATTGTAAGGGCGCGTAAGACAAAATACAAATTTGTTCCATAAGAAAGCCTCTTGCTAAACTATTACAATCCACGTGTACACGCATATTTAAATGCTAAATTATAAACTAACTGTAGATTTGCGGGTTTTTACACTATCTTTATAATAATAATAACATATTACAAACTACTAGTGAATATTACTTTACATATTCAATTACTATATTATTATTTATTTATAATAATTATGTTTATACACCTAAAACGAGGGAGAAATTATTCTGTAAAGAGAACACAAAAGTAACTTGTTCATCTAAGCTAAATCACAAGAATATTGTAGGTACTTTTGCCGGCTTAATGAAAATGTCTTTAATTTTATATTTAAATATATGTTGGAGATACATGTATAATACGAAGTATATATATTTTCGAATGTACATATATGAGTAAGCGCTATAGTCAACAGTTCCTTTGTATATATGAATATGTTAGTATAATAGTAGAAACTCGTCCTAATGTTTTTTTTTATCATTTTATAGAGGTGCAACGAGCCCCTTATCAAAATTTTATCATTATACTGAAAGAATTATTACAGAGGTATTTATAGCTACCTAAAATTCATTAATTATTTTACTAAACGTTTTACAATAGTAACTTCCATCTAAAAATTCGTGAACTGTGTTATAATGACAAATACAAGTGTAAATATAGTATTTAAAATGGCCTTTACATATATAGTACAATAGTAAATAAAAGAATCGAAATATCTTTCTACGACAAAAATGATTTCCGTATTTACTCGAGAACATTACGTGTATATTTTCCTATAGAAAAATTATTTTATTACAATTTATTTTAACTAAGATCTCGTAGGTCGTTGCACCTGCGTTTAAATTCGCTATGATTTTTAAATACAACAATCATTGCAATATTCTCACCATGTTCAAAATACTTAAACAGAGCTCGGAGCAATTTGAATACAAAATCGATAGTGCTTCAAACTCTATTCACTTTCATCGAAACGGGTCGTAAATGTATATCAATTTGATTTTCAAATAGTTTCACATACGAACACACGACATATCGAGGGTTCTACAGAGACACGGAGTAGTAAAGAAATGGAGTGCTCGTGTAGCAACGAATGTTGCCACTTTTCGAATTAAAATCACCATTCTACTATAGCAATTGTGATCGTACGAGACATGTAATTGTACGCATTCCATTTATCATCTACTCAGTGGTAACTGCTGGGACAAATCTTCGATACAATGAGAGTGCGTCCGGTACCCATTTGACAAAATCGTACCTACATTGTTTATACATTTTTTTAAATTTAATTTCAACGAGTTCAACTCCTGGAGTATGCTTTAAACATTGAACTATTGTATTGATCTGTGAATTTTGTTTGGAGAATGTCAATATCTGTAATATGATAATTTCGACTGACAGTCACTTGTTACTCCTCATTTACATAATCCGTACTTTAATTGGTGTTAGTGGCATGCATCAACGTACAAACATTGCCTATCCCCAAACAAATACGAGTAATATTCGATACATACAATTATATACTTCATCAACTTGTTACTACTACCATTGCACTCACCTTAGATATTAATGCCAGCCTCAGAAATATTCCACTAATCTCGAGATTCTAGGCGTTACAGTGTTAACCTTTGCAGCAGTACTATAAGTTATTACAGTCAGTGTATATTCCATACAATATCTATTACTCACTATAGACCCTAACGTTTTTACACACACATATTTTACATAATATTATATTCAAGCTTGGCAATACTTTCGAATATTTTCGAAGCTGGCAACCCAGTACTAGGTGCGTATAGACGCGCCGTACGAGAGTACTTCAGCGCGGCTTCGCACATTGCTAACTTACTTCGATACTTGCAAGAAACCTCTGTTATTCTGATATGGTTATATTTATTGTATCAGATTTTTTCATTTTAGTCTTGTTTAAAGGCTCTTAGTTTCCAAGGCAGCTAACTAAAGTTGAGCGGTATCTCCGCTCAATGTAATATCGCTCATATATTTGTAATAATATGCAATCTGTGTACAGCGCCCGAGTCGCGGGCGCGTGTGAAGCGTATATATTATTAATATATAGTGAAAATTATATATAAACAGCGAAACGTTACCATCTTACGTCACTCCTAAATCCTTCACCTTAAAGCTCGTTCGCGTCTTACTGAACAAAAGTTTTTAACTTAAAGAGTACAACTTAACACACGACACTAATACTACACTGTCTTGTTCAACAACCCAATTGTTCATAGTTCCGTATCACTATTATTGCTACGATATCCTCTGTGCGTCGACCGATGAGCGAACAAACTAACAGACTATTGTGACCAGTTCCAATGTCATATTAGTACTAATATGTATGTCAGCTTATAAAGCTTATTGGACTGTATAGCACTAGAGTATGAAAGCAAACAGAATCAAGTCGTTAAACTGTCATTTATTGCGAATCACGGGCCTTCAGAAGGCCAAGTTAACAGCATCGTACAATATTGCACTAGTGTTCTACAAAGAATGAAATATTACAGGACGAGGGTATTCGATAGGGGGAGGTGACGGCGCCTCAAGGGTCGACGCAGGGCGCGGCCGGGGCAGCGCTAGCGCGGCTCTGGCGGGGCGCTAGCGTGGCGCTAGCGGGTCGCCAGCGCGACACTAGCGTGCCGGGCGCGAACGCGGTGTGAATATATACGTACGTTGTTGTGCCTGGCCCGCCTGTGTCCGCGAGGTGTATATATACGTACGTTGTTGTGCCTGGCCCGCCTGTGTCCGCGAGGTGTATATATACGTACGTTGTTGTGCCTGGCCCGCCTGTGTCCGCGAGGTGTATATATACGTACGTTGTTGTGCCTGGCCCGCCTGTGTCCGCGAGGTGTATATATACGTACGTTGTTGTGCCTGGCCCGCCTGTGTCCGCGAGGTGTATATATACGTACGTTGTTGTGCCTGGCCCGCCTGTGTCCGCGAGGTGTATATATACGTACGTTGTTGTGCCTGGCCCGCCTGTGTCCGCGAGGTGTATATATACGTACGTTGTTGTGCCTGGCCCGCCTGTGTCCGCGAGGTGTATATATACGTACGTTGTTGTGCCTGGCCCGCCTGTGTCCGCGAGGTGTATATATACGTACGTTGTTGTGCCTGGCCCGCCTGTGTCCGCGAGGTGTATATATACGTACGTTGTTGTGCCTGGCCCGCCTGTGTCCGCGAGGTGTATATATACGTACGTTGTTGTGCCTGGCCCGCCTGTGTCCGCGAGGTGTATATATACGTACGTTGTTGTGCCTGGCCCGCCTGTGTCCGCGAGGTGTATATATACGTACGTTGTTGTGCCTGGCCCGCCTGTGTCCGCGAGGTGTATATATACGTACGTTGTTGTGCCTGGCCCGCCTGTGTCCGCGAGGTGTATATATACGTACGTTGTTGTGCCTGGCCCGCCTGTGTCCGCGAGGTGTATATATACGTACGTTGTTGTGCCTGGCCCGCCTGTGTCCGCGAGGTGTATATATACGTACGTTGTTGTGCCTGGCCCGCCTGTGTCCGCGAGGTGTATATATACGTACGTTGTTGTGCCTGGCCCGCCTGTGTCCGCGAGGTGTATATATACGTACGTTGTTGTGCCTGGCCCGCCTGTGTCCGCGAGGTGTATATATACGTACGTTGTTGTGCCTGGCCCGCCTGTGTCCGCGAGGTGTATATATACGTACGTTGTTGTGCCTGGCCCGCCTGTGTCCGCGAGGTGTATATATACGTACGTTGTTGTGCCTGGCCCGCCTGTGTCCGCGAGGTGTATATATACGTACGTTGTTGTGCCTGGCCCGCTTGTGCGGCGGGTGCGCGAGCTGGTCTGCCTCGGAGATGACGAGCTCGCCTCCCACCGCTCCGCAGTCCTCGCCTCCACCAGACCCGTAGCCACCGCTGGAATCAGATTATCAGATTCATCAAAATATAGCTCAAATGTATTTATAACCAACCTGAGACTCCTTACGTCGAAATCACATTCATAACCACTCGCATGAGAAGGGAACTTTTTATAAATTATGAAGATGAAGAAAAATTGTCCAAAAGAAACATACCCGTAGTAGGGAGAGTGCTGGTGTATGACGACGTTGGCGGGCACTTCTTCCTCCTGGATGGAGACCAGGTTGCCACCAGTCGTGCCCACCACATACTTCTCTGGAAACATAAAAAATACCACATCAGTTTATCGCATTTTTACAGTCAGTAGGTTTAACTCGTCGAGTACCGGTTTTGCAGACACAATTATAGAACAATAGGTTGCGGTCACCGGTGACCGCTTGGTGTTTGACAGTTTAAAAATATGATGAACCCAATATAATACCCCGAGGAACTCTAGACTTACACCAATAGTATAACAAAAATATACAAGTAGAAAGTTCAAAATGCATAAAATTTCAAACAATAGCAATTTACACATATCTCTGTAGAAAGTTCCTGGGAATACATGTTAGTAAAATATTGACATGGCTAAGGTTGCCTAAAGCCTAAAGAGTAGTATGTACCTTCTCTCTCTCCGCCGGCTCCGTTGGTGACTACGGTGATCTGGTGTCCAGCCATCACTAGCGCGCCGCCGCCCGCGCTGTACGCAAGGCCGTGGCCTGGACACATATTTACATAATTTTAATTCGTTGTTATATTTATGCCCTTATTACCAAGTTTAGTGTACAGTACTCTATCTATAGTATATCACAAGGTTAGCTAAGGGTTCGTCGATTACGATATTCTCCGAAATGGCATACAATTTGGAATTGATGTCAGATTTTTGGTAAAGGTAACTACATCGACTTTTAAACACGTTATTATTAATTTATTTAACGTTACGTAACTGGTGAAACTTAAGTGTGTAACAAGTAAACCCTTTGTAGGAGAATCATTTGTTTCGCGGTCGCGTTAGTCAGTGAGTAGGTATAATGTGACAGTAAGGACCTGGCGAGCCGGGCGCACTCTGGCTGACCCCGCTACGTTGCGGGAACAGATACTGCGTCGACTGGCTGTTATTGCTGCTCAACCGTTGCTGACTCGCCTGCAAATTATTTCATTACATTTAGCACAATGTTGTTCATGTATTGCTGAAACATACAAACGCTATAGTTTTAAGTTATAGCTAAAGTAATGAAATGGACTTGTAATAGAAAAGTCTTTTAACTTGAGGGTACATATTTTTCAAACATTTTCATCTATAATTTTTTTTTTTGTAATTAACGGAAAAATATAGAAAATCATACAGTCATAGGTACTAATAACAAGTTTAAAAAGTTCTTAAGCTTTTAAGTGTTATTGTCTATAAAGATTAGTGTAGTATCTTACCGAGGAGTTGATCTGCTGGTCCTGATCCTCCGGAGGGAAGAGGTCAGGAGTGGGCTCGCGCGAGAGCTCCTCGGGCGTGACGAGCCCCGACACCCCCACCTGCGACGGTGACGTCGGCGCGCTCCTGTACATCATACATCATCTTCATCATCCTCATCTCCACACTACACTCTACTTGTATCGAGCCGCCCACTGGCGCAGGGGACATTTTTTAAAGCCCCCAAAGTTGGAGCCAAATAAATTATTGAAATTCAACACTAATATAATCAGAGGCACATAATGCGAATCTTTAACGCCAAAATGCAGTCTCTACCCAGTTGGATGAAATTTGGTTTGCAGAATAGTCAAATGAATCCTAACTACGGTCAGAGGAGAAGCGCCAGAAAGCGCCTCGACACATCATTGATAACAGCTTTGATAAACAACCGGCCGTTACCTCTCTGTCTACCCCAGATTTAGGGTAACTCGTGATTGATTTATAACATCTCTTTGCTTAAAACTAAGCACGATCCTGTCCGGATTCGGTTATGGTTTTTTCTTGACTTTCGATCTGGCAACTTTACTTGAAAAGCACCTGTCGACATTAGACGATACTTGTATAGGTCTTTTTAGATCTAACTACTAGGCCTGATGAAAACTAAACTAAATAATCGATGCTTTAGGACGTAGGTGCTTGATGAACTATTTTTGTTGGTGCCTCACAAGGTGGACGATAGATGCTTTGGATCATGTGCTCATTAACTGACAATATGCTTGATAATGACGATCTTGGTCATGATTTCTATCTTGAGGTTTCCCTCTATAAGCGTTATTTCAAAAACAATTTTCTAGGTTTTTGTAACCATACCTACACTTTGTGAATGTACAAAATACTTTTACCGTGCTTTAAGTATATGTTACCTGGAAGAGAGCCCGAAGGGTGCCCGAAACTGCACGCCCCTAGGACGCCGCGGACGGAAGGCGAGCTCGATCAGTTTGCCTTCGCTCTGAGGATCTATGCGCCAGAAGCTACCCTTGCCGGGCTCTTCTTGACTGCGCGGGACCTTGATGAAGTATCTGGAAGATGAGGTAAAGGTGAGAAAACTTGAATAAGGATAATCAGATTAATAGTATGAAGTCTATTATTTGGTAGTCTTTCTGATAATCAACAGAATATTTGTGACAGACGATTTCAGTCAACAGGTATAGTGTTTTAATTGAGAGCTTGGACATAAATCCTCTACGAGTGATATGACTCGTTATGCAGTTATGACATGGAGCAATCTGTAAGATACACTTTGCCTTACTCTACACAGGGACTGGTACTGACCTATTGAGCGATAGATTGTGACGAATGGAATTTTGCCATCCTTTGTCGGCAGTGCGGTAGTAGGGGTAGTGCTTGGTGATGTAGCTGTAGATGCCGCTGAGCGTGAGCTGCTTGTCGGGCGCGGAGGCGACAGCTTGCACGATGAGCTGCGCGTAGCTGTACGGCGGCTTCGCGTCGTCGCGCGCCTCGCGGGGCTCGCGGGCCTCGCGCACGTCGCGCGTGCTGCCGTAGCCTGAGTCAGAGTTCGAGGAAGACGCCTGCAATGTGAGAAGTGTTTCTTTAATTACTGTATCAGTTAAATACAATTTAGGTGGCACTGAAAAGTAACGTCAGGTAAACAAATTCTCATTTTAAAAATGTATTGATTTTTTATGACATAAGATGGCAAACGAACAGATGGAACATCTGATGGTAAGCAATCAAGAATGAATTTGAAGATTGGGGATGGGCTATGTAGGCGAGGAAGCAAATAATTCTTGTGCAATATTGAATACTTACAGCAGTCCCATTAGAGTTGGGCCGTGCATGGTCTGCCAGCGCAGCGTAGTGAGCTACGAGACCGAGGTCTGCGTGCCGTCGGCCCGAGGAACCAGCTCCGCGTGGCGACGTCGGACAGCTGTTGGCGGCGCTTATTGTACCTGTAACGTGGGACCATCGCGTTAAGAATTAAGGTACATAACAAGATAGATAACATTCATGTATTTACAACCGGTGTAACTTCTTTATGCTGCTTAGAATTTCTGAGGCAAAGGAAATATTGTATTTCATCAGTGAAGTCATTATTTTTGTGTATTAAATTAAAAACTACATCATGTTATATGAACAATTCAGTTTTGATTCATAAATAATTTCCCTACACAAAGAAGGGTTATCTATGAATCTGGTGAGTTACCGGTAGGCGAAGGCGCAGGGCTTCGGCCATCACTGTCTGAGGGGATGGTGATGCGCAGCGGAGGCATCTGGCCGGAGCTACCTCCAGCCCCGCCGCCGCTCTCCTCCACCAGCGACTGGAACTCCAGTCGAATATTCGTGGAAGGGAAACGAAGTGTGCATCTGAAAAACAGAGAATAAAACCGATTAGAATACATGAACACGTGTTGAAACTCGTACCGGCCGATTCCTTGCAGAGGAAATTAAAAAACTATTTGCGTTATGAATATCGTGTAACAGCTAAACTCTGAACTCGGAATTTAATAAAATAGAAAATTCCATAAGAGCGAGTTGTTCAGAACATTTCTCTACGAATCTATCAAATATTCTTCAATCAATAAAATGGCTAAATGTATCTCGGCACGAGGATGATTAAAAATATATCCTTAATCCGAGATTAAATTGTTTATTCGAGTATACAAGAAAACAAGTTGCCTTCCAAAAGCTTCACAATTTTCCCATTAATAATTCCAAGTACCATTATTAGTCGTAACTTGGACATCTACCAAGCAGAAAACGAATTTTAAGAATTAAAATACTATTTTAAGTTGAGGACATAATAATCAATATTTGGCGCCCAATGTGGTGCAGATTGGGCTCTGTCGGGCGCCAACATGGTCATGTTCAGATGTAGGTACTCAATAACTTAGTTAATGACCTAAAACTATATTTCATGTAAGATAGCAGAGTACAACGTGCCGCTTATTGGCGCCCGCAGTGCAGTAAATTCAATAAGCGGACAGGCAGCGCCAGTGACGTAGGTCGTAATGAACAGTTGCCGTGGCAACGCTCTGAATGCACTCCAGCCTGAATGCTAGGGGAGTTTGTTATGTCTGCTTCACAGACTATTTTGATCTGCACTGAAATTGTCAAAGCATTATAACGATCAATGGGCCGTCTAGACGGAGATTATTTTTATTTAAACTCACTTCAGAAAAATAACAAACTGTACTTATTTTACGTTTATTTTGGAATAGGTACAACGTTCAGTATGTATGATATGAAGCGGCCGGTTGTTATTGTACGCCTACAATAATAGATGTTTCCATGACCAAGTTTCAATAAATTTCAGAATAGACGCACACGCCTACTGCTCATCTATGAACACGAGAACACATTCATACTACCATTCAAATTCAGATCAATGCATCCGCTTACAACGCACGGCGAATGTAGTACGGAGAAAAGTCAACATTTCTGCTCATATCAGAGTACTATGAATGTGTACGATGAATGCAAGAATGGAATCCGATCGTACAGACTCGTAGAACACAATCAAACCCAGTTTGCAAGCTCGTAGCCTATTTTAGAACTTTCAACTTCGCGTTCAGAACCTTATCCACATGCATAACTTATATGATCAAATGTAAGATACCGTAAATAGAAATAGACCGAACCAATTCCACACTAAAATGTATCCATATAAGATCCAATTTAGAATGCTCTAATTCGAGTGAGGAAAATGAAAAGGCCGACTCGTTTATTCATTCAAAATTGTGCCCTCGTAATTGGTTGACTCGAGGCAGATTTTTTGCTGAAAACAGTTTTAATTATCATGCAGAAAAGCTCTTAAAAACTAAACTAGGATATTTTTTGCAAATCTTGGCGGTGAGGGAAAATCTGCGATCTCATTCAGAAGGAAATTTTTAAGTATCTACCAAGTACCGGAGACTTCGCATTCCTTGTAAAGGGGACGTGAATATGGTGCTCGTTACGGAAAGTCGTCATGTTAAGCCAAGTGCCTGCCCACATTGCAGTCCCATATAAATAAATCTGCCACCGTTAGCATCCACCACCCCGCCAGGCCGCCATAACGCCTACTAACGCTATCATAGCCTGTATTCTCGCATCCTTGTGCTATATTGCTCGTTACGAATAGCTTACAACTTCCAAGCTCTCTGTTTATTAAAATATTTATTCATGAATATCTACTTATTTTGCTTGAATACGATTTTCTAAGTAACCCAACCGTCTGAAAACTTATTCAATAGCTTTCTATTCCACACACTGTATCAACGTAATAAACATTTTTTGAATGGAAAATGTGTTAAATCGTCGTGAGTACACAAAGCACCGCTAATTAGTTCGTAACGCTCACATCGACACTACTGTCATTTACACAATGTACATGTGTGGGTAATTTCATATTACTGTGTATAAAAATATTCGTCCACCACGTTCACATTGGTATTTTCATTCTTGTGTCGGTATACGTATTTTTATAATTTAATGCATGGGTAAGGTTAAAACTATTTACAATCATTGATATGACCCGACATTTTCACTGTAATTTTCGTAGTGCTCGTGGTCGATTGGTTAATGAGTACGCTTTTATCGTCTTTCAAGGATCAATGATGATGTGGGTTCTAGTCCAGCTAAAATTTTTTTTTTATTTTACCTTGTTGTTTTTCTTATTTATTTTTTTTTTGTTTTTTGTCATATAATATAAATATCAGGCTATAAAAGAAGCAAATCAGTCGGTAAATAAAACAATACTATTTTTTATTAAAATTAATTTATTAATTATACAAATATGTGGTTTTATATTCAATATTTATATCTAATAATTAATTATATACCACATGTTAACTTTAAAGTTCTTCCAATCATTCTAAATTATTCTAAATAATAAATAACTAGAACTAAAATATAAATAAAGGATATTATAGGTATAAATAAATCTAAAGTATTTACTATTAAAATTAACATAAGATTTAGAAAAATAGGATAGGAAAAAAAGAAAAGATTTAATTGTTTCTAATTTCACATTTCAAATATTTGATTAATTAATACTAAAACAACATGTGAATGCTGGAATCGATCCGGTGGCACTTTACTTGACAACTGGAGGCGATAACCATTGCGCCAAGCGCGCCGTAGATGAGAACATCGAAATATTGTATATCATTCAGTAACATAAAAATACAATGAGAATGCACTATATTTATATAAGTATTGTATTGCTCGATCGTTCATTATTTTTGATTTCGATTTATTCAAAGTTTGTTATGAGTATTTTTATCTTTACCCTCGTTTTTATTTAAACTTATTTACTAAAATATTACGTATACCGACACAAAAATGATATGTAATACCAAGATGTGTGTGATAGAACGAATGTTTCTATACATATCTATTAATATGAAATTACCCACACATGTTCACTGTGTAAATGATAGTAATGTCGATGTGTAGCGCCTCGAACTAATTAGCGGTGCTTTGTGTACGTTACATCTGTTGCTTGCTACACAACAGACAAAAACCCAGACTTGACTTCTGAGAATTAAAGTCATCTGAAAACTTATCCGAGCATTGTGTAGTCACGACTCCTCCAAAATTGTTCAAGGACAAAGTAAACGCGTGTTTGGTACTCCTGAGTTTATAGGACATCACGTAGGGGCACTAACTACGTCATAAAACCGATGTGGATGATAAAATAAGTTTTTATGTTGAACAGTTGTTCCGTGGAGACAATAAAAATACCAGACTAAGTTATATTATACGGCTCATTATTTTGGATAGATATGGCATTTTTAATACAAACATTTTATAGTCATTTTAGTGGTCTGGTTTTTGTATAAGGCTGCGTTCACTTACAACAATAAAAAAACATTTTAAAGAAAGAAAACATATTTGAATAATATTCATCCTTAATTGATTAATATGATCTTTAAACGTTTTTGCATGAATGTGTCACCACAAATCACTCCATCATTAAAGCCTCAAAAGCACGACTAAAGTACCTACTACTGGTTCTTTTTTTCAAAAAATATCACAGTAGTAGCACGAAGACTGGAATTGTGCTCGGTATATGGCAATAGCCTCACGCCTTATTACATGGGACTCATAACATAAATAGTGAAAAGTGGGTGTTACATTGTACAGTACAGTAGCATAATGTAGACCTCTGCCTACCCCTTCGGGGATAAAAGGCGTGATGTTATGTTATGTGAAGCACGACTAGTCAGTCATCAGAGTAGCTACATTCACAAGTTTCACACGACATAGCACCGCAGTCGTAGACAGCATAAAGACAAACGCGCAACGTTCACATAAGCTTCCTTATTTCACATTCCTCGCAGCCTTCCAGCAACGTATCTGAATACGTCTAGTGCTCCACATCGCAATTCCTTAGTGCTATTTCATATTAATTTAATTCAGAACCCTACATACATTCTATGTAGGTTTAATTTCCTAGAACGTAGTTGGGTGGAAATATTGTTTTATTAAATTTAGTCAGTATTCCGAGTTAGGTCGCGAGTATTAAAGTTTAGTTCGGCGAGATAGACGTTTGCAATCTCTGCTGGGAGATTGAACTGATAAAGAGAAATGGTTCGAGGGAATTTGATGGTTTATTCCATATCGTTTGACGTCGATTTTTCTGGATTCCTAACAGTATACATGTACGTCCTGCTTTATATTTTGCAGTACTCAAATAAGGGGGGATTTTAAGACTTTTTTTTTTGCGGGGGGAAAATCATCCAATGACTTCTCCCGCCTAGGTGAGGCGGGAGGGAGTGTCAGACTCTTACTGACTAAAAACCACCCCGTTCCTACTCCTGCACTTCGAGCCGGAGCCCCGGCAACCAACATTCTAAAAGACCTGGAATAATATACAACAAACGACTCTCCTGCGTAGTTATGGAACAGTCCCTGGTATTCAAATCTCGGGTGCCATATGTTCCAAATTACATATCTAGACTAGTTCTATTACTCTACAAAGACACACCTGCCCTAAATCTTTCACGAAGGAGGCGTAGTGTTAAAATAATTTTATTGATTGGTGTAAAACAAACAGATGGAGCAACTGGCCGTCAACAAAATCTAAATGTATTGAAAACAAGTCGTGACCCCGCTAAAGTTGCCGGCTAAACAAAACAAATACGAGGCGTTACGTCACACCAATACGGTATGCAGCCAACGTTACGTGGAAAAAGTTATTGAAATCATTTGTATGGGATTACGAATGGAATGCGCGTGTGCATTGCATTTTTGTTTTAATATACTTAAAGTTTAACAATGTATTTTAGATTTAGACTGAAATAATAATATCGATTGAAGAGGACTGGTGCATTATTGCGCATCGCATTCATTTAGATTTTAAGATTTGTAAAACTACTTAT